CCACAGTACACATGCTCCTGCCCCTGTACCATTCCTCCCATGCCCACACTACCCTCCCCACTCCACAGTACACATGCTCCTGCTTCTGTACCACTCCTCCCATGCCCACACTACCCTCCCCACTCCACAGTCTGCCATGTGATCAAGCAAGGCCGCTGCACGCTGGTGACGACACTGCAGATGTTCAAAATCCTGGCGCTCAATGCGCTTATTTTGGCCTATAGCCAGAGCGTCCTCTACTTGGAAGGCGTCAAGTTCAGTGACTTCCAGGCCACACTGCAGGGGCTGCTGCTGGCCGGCTGCTTCCTCTTCATCTCTCGCTCTAAGGTGGGCCAGCCTGTGTCTTCACAGGGAGCAATTCAGCCTCCTCCTATTGGGGGTGGGTAGAGGATGAGGTGAGATGCCCTAGAGGTGGGCAGTAAGTGCTGGTCCTCAGGCTCCACCCACATCCTACATGTACCTCGCCATGTAGGAACCAGGGACCACGCTGAAGGGTAGGCAACTCAGACTGGTTGATCCCCAGAACTCACAGACTGAGGATGGGCTATGACCCCTCAGAGCGCACTTCACAGGGTGTGCAGTGACTGAGAAGGACAGATAAGTGGGGGGACAGGAGGACTCGAGACAGGGTGGGCACTATCTCCTTTGTAATCTTAAAATTCTTGTAGTAGCCATGGAGAGAGGTGGGACATGAGGGCGGAGGGCCAGCAGGGAGCTCCAGAGCAAGCCCAAGCTTTGAGTCCACCCTGTGCTACAGCCCCTCAAGACCCTCTCCCGAGAGCGCCCCCTGCCCAACATCTTCAATCTGTATACGGTGCTCACGGTGATGCTGCAGTTCCTTGTGCACTTCATGAGCCTCATCTACTTATACAGCGAGGCCCAGGCCCGGAGCCCGCCAAAGTGAGTACCCTGACCCTACTGCTCGTGGGGGCGGGGGGAGGAACGGGATGGACAGCAACACAGAGGAGCTGAGTGTCCACGCGCCTCCGAGGGCAGTGGAGGGCTAGTGGAAACCCTGACCACACGGCCCACAGGCAAGAGCAGTTCGTGGATTTGTACAAGGAGTTCGAGCCCAGCCTGGTCAACAGCACCGTGTACATCATGGCCATGGCCATGCAGACAGCAACCTTCGCCATCAATTACAGGGTGAGGCCCAACTGCCTCTGCCTCCCACCCACCCAGTCCCCCCCTACCCCCCACCCACCCCAGGTAACACTGCTTCACTTGTCTGTCCACAGGGTCCACCCTTCATGGAAAGCCTACCCGAGAATAAGCCTTTGGTGTGGAGCCTGGCAGTGTCCATCTTGGCCATCGTTGGCCTGCTCCTTGGCTCCTCTCCTGACGTCAACAGCCAGTTTGGCTTGGTAGACATCCCTGTAGAGGTGAGTATGGTGGCAGCATGGTGAGGGCGGGCCTGAGCCTGGGCCTGGCTGCCTGCTAACTTGCCTTTCCACTGGCTAGTTCAAGCTGGTCATTGCCCAAGTCCTGTTCCTGGACTTCTGCCTGGCATTCCTGGTGGACCATGTCCTGCAGTTCTTCCTGGGGGCCCCAAAGCTGAAAGTGCCTTCCTGAGATGGCGGTACCAGCACCACTGTCCACTGGCCCTGCCCGGGGGAGCCTTGTGGGATCTCCAAGGGAACCGACCCCCACAGATCGGCCAGCTGCCTTGCCTACCACACTGAGCTGGGCCCTTCAGGTCCATCCAGCAGAACTGGCCCTGGGCCAGCACCTTCAGCCAATAAAGCAGCATTATGATTTTAAGAAACTCTGCCTCCCTGTCTTTGCCACTGTGGGACCCAGGGTCAGGGGTAGGGGCAGTCACTGAAGAAGGTTCCCACCTTCTTCCCAGGCAGTTTAGAAAGGTGATCAGTAGTCACATTCAATGCTTAGCTAGCCAAGCTGGAAGCTAGAAGTCCTTGGACCCGCTCTGCTAGTTCACCAGCATTGTAGCACTGATTTCACACGATTATTCATATTTTAATATCTCAGAAACTGGAAGGAGTCTTGAAACTGACGATGGTCTGTGATTGGCCAGCATCATGACCTTCCCCCCTCATAATAAACCAAGGAGTTATGGTGGCACTGTGGGATAAGCATTGGGCTGCTCACTGTAAGGTTGGTGGTTCAAACCCACTAGCCATTCTGCCATTCTGTGGAAGGTGAGGCTTTCTGCTTCTGAAAACATGTAGTTTCAAACCCTATATAGAATTGCTTTGAGTCAGAACTCGATGGTAGGGGGTTTTATAATAAGGTGTCTTCCTCTTGAAAGCAGCATCCTTGGGTTCAGAGAGGCTGGCCTTGGTCATCACAAACCCTGATGCAGTCTGAGCCCCAGTGCGGAAGTCTGTATCGTGGTCTTTATTTCAGACAGGATGTGGCTGGTCCCAGCAGCCAGCTGCCAGGTTTTCTATTGCTATGCTCAATGACTCTGATTGAAGAGAAGGCAGAGAAAGCCGAGAATCCAGGCTTGCTGGGCGTTCCTGGCCTTTGCAACAGTGAAGCAGTATTACATACATATTTAAAAGTTTTACTACCAGCCAGAAATTCCAGAGTGGGATGTGGGTGCGTTTTTCCAAGGTGCTGTGGTCTCAGGCGGGGGGTGGGGGGGTGCTGTGGTCTCAGGGTGTGTGTGTGTGTGAACGGGCAGGTGTCTGGTGCTTGACCTCACCTGGAAGAATTTGCTGTGAGAAGGTTCACTCTAGTGATGTGGACACAGTTTCTGAGAGGACCCTGAGAAGAACATTCTGGACTTGGGGGTTGCAGACAGGGACTGGTTGGGGGATGGGGGGAGGTGTAGACAGGGCCCTGGTTTGCTTACCCCCTTTACCACGTGTCTGGTCACTGGGGGAGGGTAGCTACGTGAGCTCACTAGTTGCTGATATTGTGAAGTGCCATAGAGTCGGTTCTGACCTATAGCGACCCTGTATAGGGTTTCCGAGGAGCAGCTGGTGAGTTTGAACTTTCGACCTTGCAGTTCAAACGGATTTGCAGTCTGATGCATTAACCCACAGCACCACACCAGGACTGCACTGCTACAGGTGTCCAACTACTGAAGATACTTGAGACTCAGTGACTGGGGACTGCAGAATCGGCTGGAATTGGGCAGGATATCATGCTGCCACCAGGGGGCGCCATGACCGCGATGGAGGTGGAGAAGTAGGTTAGGGTAGGGGCAGCCAGGAGACCCTAGAACTTCCCAGAGCCCAGGAGTTTTCGGGACCTTCAGACCCTAGATTTTTGTGGGGTCTCCGCAGGGTGCTGGGGCCCTATGGGCTTTGGAAAGGTACAAAACTTTGGGGAAGGGACGCTGAGGCTCGGGGTGGTTGTTTAGAGGCCCTGACAAAAGACTCGGGCAGGAGGCGGAGCAAGAGGCGTCTTTGGGGTGCCTCCCTCGCCTGGGTCCTACAGATGAACCCGCCAGGTACTCAGGCTGCGCTTCCGGGCTGCGGGGAGTGGCCTCCGGGGGCGGGGCTGTCGGGGGGCGGGGCGGACACGGAAACTCCGGGCCGCGGCTGCCTCAGGAAATCCAAGCTGGGCCTATCCAGCGCGCGACCCCATCCCGGTCCTCGCTGAAGGAACCCTTGGCCAGGCCATGGACACAGCAGAGCCGGGTAGGGGATCGGGGTCTGGAGTTTGGAGGGGCGTCTTCTATCGTCCCTTACTTCCTACATTGAGGGAGCCCTGCCTTTTCCTCGGTCCCTAGAGCCAGGGAAAGGAGTTCATGAATGGGGTGGACGCGAGGACCCTTCACTGTGGGGATCTCAAGGCAAGAAGGGGTAAAGGCATCAGGTCCTGACCCCCTCCCCCTTCCAAACCTTCACCCCGGATGCCTGGGGGAAGGGGCCCAGGAAGGGGAAGTGGCCGCTTCTGCTTCTGATTTTTGTGATGGGGGCAGGGTGTCGCTGTCACAGCCGGTGATGGAGAGGGTGATTCCGTAGGCCCCGCTACAGGGGCCCTTATAGCCCTGGGGTGGAGGCAATGTGGATCTGGGTCCCTTAAAAGTGGGGGTTAGAAATGTGGCAGATCCAGACTTGCCCTTATGCCTCTTTGTGCCTCTGTAGGCTGAGTGTCATTTGGTCTTTTTGTCCCTCATTGTGGCTTCAGTCTGCCAGTGTGTGTGCTTCGCTGCAGGCTTTTCGCCTTTCTGTCCCACGTGTATTTCCATCTGTCTGCTCTAGGATCCATGTGGCTCCATTGTCAAGCCAGCTGTATCTCAGGGCATCTGCTTTGTCACTTTCCACCTCCTTCTGTGCCTATTCCAGTGTCTGTACCTAGAAGCAGCTTTTGGCCCATCATCCTGTCCCTAGTCTCACCAACCCACCCCCCAAACCCCACTCTTCCTCCACTTATACCACTCCTTTTCCATTTGGCCACACTCCCCACTGGGCCAGAAAAGAATAAGACGATGACACACACACTTTCGCAACCCTCCAAAAGAACTGAGGTGCTGTGGGTGGAGGGAGGCATCCATTGGCCCAAGTGGAACACCCCCTTCTCTCCAGGGTTATCCCCGGCTACTGAGGGAAGGAAGAGGTACAGTGACATCTTCCGGAGCCTGGACAATCTTGAGATCTCACTGGGGAATGTGTGAGTCTGAACCTGGGTCACCCACAAATCCTTCTGGGATCCCCAAGCCTAAAGCCATATATGTGCTCTGAAGCCCCACTAGAAGCTTGCTGCACCTGGATGCACTTGCCTCATAACCAGATAAGTCTAAGATGGGACCTTCCAAAACACTTGCATACTCCCATAACCAATACTCCCTTGCCTCCACAATCCCCTGGGAATCCCCAACATGGCCCTAAACCAAACCAGATCTATTGCCATTAAATTCATCCAACAGTATAAGACAGAATAGAACTCCCCCACTTAAAAACAAATTGCCAGAGTTTTCTCCTTTTTAGAGCAGCTGAGGGGTTTGAACTGTTGACCTTTTGGTTAGCAGCAGAATGCTTAATTACTATGCTACCAGAGTTCCCTAACATGATCTCCTTATTGTTAAGTGCTGTCAAGTTGGTTCCGACTCATTGTGACCTTGTATAGGGTTTCCAAGGACAGGCTGGTCTTAGTACCCCACATATTCTTCATGTGACCTCTTAAAACATTTGAGATCCCTATAACCACACTCTGAGCCCCAAGTGTACCTGAGACCCTTCAGACCCTTTTTAAAACCAGGTAAAAAATGACCTGCTTCCCCAAACACCCCATCCCTCAGACTTCCCATATACAAAATATGCCACTTCAGAGTGATATCCAAGATCATCCATCCAAATGTCCTAGGGTCCCTGGCACCCTCAGACAAGACACACTGGGTGGAGGGTAGTTGGCATTCTGACATCTGTATCCTTTAGGACCCTTGAGATGCTGGCTGGAGACCCTGTGCTCTCAGGAGACCCTGATCCTGACATGGCTCCCACAGCTGCTGTGGTGAGGAGAGTGGGGCTGCCAGTGGGGGTGGGGGGGGCTCAGGGGAATAGGAAGCTCTGGGAGGAGTAGACTGGGACCCCTGCCCTGCTTGCTCCTGATTCTCTCCCTCCCATCCCAGACCAGCGAAACCAGTCCTTGGAGCAGCCCCTCCTCAGAGGGTCCTACACCCCTCACAGGTAGGGGGGCTTTGTGGGCAGGATGGTTGGGGCAGAAGAATCTTTTCCTCAGCAAGTCAGGACTGAGTACCTCTTCCGTGCCAGGCATTGTTCTGGGTACCGGAGACCCAGCGGTGCCCTTGACAGATCCAATCCCAGCCCTTCCCTCAGGAAGCCCCTGATAGTCCAGATAGGAAATAGTTACCGCCCAGTGTAAAGTTGCAACCAGGACATAAGATGCCAAAGGGGTGTTTGGGGAAACCATAAGGGTATAGAATGGGGCCACTGGTCTGGCATAGGGGCTTAGGGAAGTTTTCCACGGGGGAATAGAAGTCTGAAGTCAGGGACTGCTGGTCTGCCCCAGGAGAGGAACTGGACTTGCGGCTGGTTCGGACCAAAGGGGGTGTGGATGCAGCCCTGGAGTATGCTAAGACCTGGAGCCGCTATGCCAAGGAGCTGCTGGCCTGGACTGAGAAGAGAGCCAGCCATGGTGAGAGCCCCCTGTGCCCTGCCCTGAGTCTTAGGTGGTGCCACCTCCTTAGCCAGCAAGACCTAGACTCTGACTGTCTTTCCCCAGAGCTGGAGTTTGCCAAAAGTGTCATGAAGATTGCGGAGGCTGGCAAGGGGTCCATCCACCAGCAGGTACCTATAAGATCCTGTGTTGGGTCCCATCTCCGCCCCAGCCTCAGACAGATCCTCAGCCTCCTGTTACCATTTGTCTGTCCCTTAGAGCCACATGCCTCTGCAATACATCTACACGCTGTTTTTGGAACACGACTTCTCACTTGGGGCCCTGGTACAGGAGACAGTGGCTCAGCAGAGGAGGGATTACTACCAGGTGAGGGGACAGAGCTATGGTGGGGCCATGCTTCCTTTCCTTCGGGATTTTCTCCACAGAAGTCAAGAGGAAGGTATCGTTGCCACCCTCTTCATCATCCTTAGTAATTGGTCCAAGGCCACACAGCTTCCTGATTGATTAGATTCTGCCTTGTTTGCAGAAGGGAAAAGATGTCTCCCAGGGTGGGCAAAGGGTATGAGGTGACCACTGAAACTCTGCCCCAACATGGGGTGGAAGGAATGGGACCAGAGAAGGAAATGGAGGAAATGCTGAGTTCCAGAAGAAAGATGAGGCTTTCTGCTCTTGCAAGAGTTAAAGCCTCAGGGTCACTGTGAGTGGAAAATGACTCCACAGCACTTAACACACACACACACAGAGACCTGAGAAGACCCATGTGGGTCCCTCTGGGGTGGCAGGAGGTGGCATTTCCACCCCGTACTCTCATCCCTTACTCCTACCCCTTTGCCAGCCCCTGGCAGCCAAACGAACTGAGATTGAGAAGTGGCGGAAGGAATTCAAAGACCAGTGGACCAAGGAGCAGAAGCGGATGGTAAGGCCTGGGGTGGGCATGAATAGGCCTGGTGGAGGAGGCAAATATGGAAATGGTGCTGACTGGCCACTTCACCCAGAATGAGGCAGTGCAGGCCCTTCGGCGGGCCCAACTCCAATACGTCCAGCGTAGCGAAGACCTGCAGGCCCGCTCCCAGGGGTCCCCAGAGGACCCGACCCCCCAGGCCTCGCCAGGGCCCAGCAAGCAGCAGGAGCGGCGGCGCCGATCACGGGAAGAGGCTCAGGCCAAGGTGGGGACCTACTGTACACTCTAGCTCTGGAGCCGTCACCGTAAGCGTCTTACCCACGCACCTCCCGCTTCGACTTGTCTAGGCTCAGGAGGCTGAGGCGCTGTACCAGACCTGTGTCCGAGAGGCCAACGCGCGGCAGCAGGACTTGGAGGCCACCAAGCAGCGGATTGTATCGCACGTGCGCAAGCTGGTGTTGCAGGGAGATGAGGTGCTAAAGAGGGTGAGGCCTTTCTCCAGTGTCGCCAATGATATACACCTCTGCGTCACCAGGAAGCTTCAATTCCCACCTGGTCTCTATAGGCCTGCCTAGGATCTCCAAGCTATCCCTACTAGGCCAAGGCTAAATTCCGCCCAGCCCTCCAAATCCCCTCCTGGCAATCCTATCCTGCCACCCCACAATGACCTCCCCTCAGTCCGGGTACCTATAGCATAGCTTCCTATAACAACACTTCTTGGTTACACAAACCCAATCCCAGATGACCCCACCTCCTTATCTATATGTCAGGCCCGCCCCTGACTCTGGCCCCACCCCCAGGTGCCTGGACCCCGCCCCATCCCTAGCCTGTGCACCTCTGCCTTACAGGTAACCATGGGCCTATTTGGGCTGCGGGGTGCGCAGGCAGAGCGTGGGCCCCGCGCCTTTGCAGCCCTGTCCGAGTGCTGTGCACCCTTCGAGCCTGGCCAGCGCTATCAAGAGTTCGTTAGGGCGCTGCAGCCAGAGGTTCCGCCACCCCCACCGCCTGCCTTCTTTTTCCAGGAGTTTGTACCTGCCGTGCACAGGTGGGCTGGGGACAATAGTGACACCCACCCCACTGTGGGGCCCAAGTACTCATCTTTAGTAGTTGGGGGGTTTCAAGGCTCCGGACTTGAGATTCAGTACCCAAGGTCCTTATTTAGGGGAGGACCAAAATTTGAGGTTACTGCTCCCATGGTAGGTACCTCAGAAAACGGGCATCAGGGATTGGTGGTCAGTAACAGAAGGGGCTGCGGGGTGTTGTCACTGTACTGGGAATCGAATCGAGCCCCAAACCTCTCTCAGCTCCCCTCTGGACACTAGAAAGAAGTTCTCAGGTCCCCTGCCTCCCCGGCTGGATGAGGCTGCGAATGAGCTAGGCCCCTGGGAGGACTCAGGCACCCGCTGGCAGGGTGAGTACTGTGAGCGCTGGGTAGGCAGGGGGGCCATGTTGCTATCAATCTCACTAATCTGTTCTCTCCTAGGGACCCCAGGTCCCGCCCAAGGAAGTGATGTGGATAGCTTGGGTGGCGAGTCCCGGTCCCTGGACTCTCCTACTTCCAGCCCAGGTGGGACCAGACCCGACGCTGACCCTCTCCTTACCTCTATCATCCTTCAGCCACTGGTCAAGCTCTAACCCTCCATCTTTAACCTGTCCTTTGCCCTCTGACCTATCCCACACCCACACCTATTTCTTCAGCTTCTGACCCACTCTATTGATCCAACTCCTGAACTGCTTACTCCCTAGTGGTCACTATGATACATTCTCTGACCCCTAATCTCTAACTTTTCTGAGCAAGCTCCTCCTGAACTCTGGCCCCTTTCCTCAAGGGCATCTGTGGGTGGTTCTGGAAGCCAGAGGGTTTTAGACACCCCCCCGCCCACCACCTTTGTGCCCCTCTGGCCCTAGGCCCTGGTTCCAGGCGGCTGGTGAAGGCCTCATCCACAGGCACAGAGTCCTCAGATGACTTTGAGGAGAAAGACCCTGGTAAGGCTGGAAGCGAGTGGGGCAGGATGGAGTGGGTGGGCCAGGCCCCTGATCCTCTCTCCCTGCAGACCTGGGAGATGCACTGGAAAATGGGACGTCCAGGCCCTTCAGGAAGTGGACACTATCCAATGCGGCACAGACCCACCGGCTGCGGCGGCTGCGGGGCCCAGCCAAGTGCCGCGAGTGTGAGGCCTTCATGGTCAGCGGCACCGAGTGCGAGGAGGTGTGCCCAGGGACTAGATGTGCTGACCTGGGCTCCTATAACTTCAGGGATCTCCCCATGACCTTCCCACCTCAAGACCTTTCCTGATGGTTTCCCATGACCCCTTAACCCCTGAGAATCTATGATCTTTTCTTCCCCCATGGGCCTTTGGTGACTTCCCTGACCCCAGGCTCCTGTGACCTCTTCTCCCAGTGCTTTCTGACCTGCCACAAGCGCTGCCTTGAGACACTGCTGATCCTCTGCGGACACAAGCGACTACCAGCACGGACCCCCCTCTTTGGGGTCGACTTTCTCCAGCTGCCTAGGGACTTCCCAGAGGAAGTGCCTTTCGTGGTGACCAGGTGCACGGCCGAGATAGAACAGCGCGCCCTGGATGTGCAGGTGCCACCTTGATCCGCCCCCCGGTCTCCAGAGATGAACCAGCCCTGCTGATGGCCAGAGTCACCGAGCAAGGTGTCCTTTTCTTCCCCTCCCCTCCTCCCTGGCTCTGCAGGGCATTTACCGAGTCAGTGGGTCCCGGGTCCGCGTGGAGCGGTTGTGCCAGGCCTTTGAGAATGGCCGAACATTGGTGGACCTGTCAGGAAATTCCCCTCATGATGTCTCAGGTGTCCTCAAGCGGTTTTTTCAGGAGGTGGGTATTCAGGGGCTGAGGTGATAGGAAATGGGCAGCCTGGGCTGAAGCCCTCCAAGCCTACTCACACCCTATCCCTGCCTATTGTACCCCTAGCTCACCGACCCCGTGGTCCCCTTCCACCTCTATGACGCCTTCATCTCTCTGGCCAAGACCCTGCATGCAGACCCTGGGGACAACCCTAAGGACCCCAACCTTGAGGTCATCCGCTCGCTCAAGACACTCTTGGTACAGCTGCCTAACTCTAACTACAACACTCTGTGGCACCTGGTGGCACATCTGTTCAGGTGGGCACTGGTGGCCCTTGACCCTTAAATTCCTGACCTGTGACTCATCCTCTGAAGTCAGCAACTACTGACTTCCTTAGCCTCTGATTGACCAGACATTGACCTCTGATCTTTCACCGGTGTTTTCTAAGCTCTGAACCTAAATATACGACTGCTGACTTTGGCATAGTTCAACCCTTGGCGTGAGCCTGCCAGTCTCAAACAGTGTTTCAAACCATTTATCTATGACCTAAGCACATCACCACTGTGGGGCCTGCCTTCAACCTGAGGCCAATGGCTGAGCACCCTACCCTGACCCTTCTCCCCATACTTTCTCAGGGTAGCTGCAAGGTTTGAGGAAAACAAGATGTCTGCCAACAACCTGGGCATTGTGTTTGGGCCAACGCTGCTTCGACTGCCGGGCAGTCCAGGGACAGCTGGTGCTGGCCCAGTTGCCTGCCTGCTGGACTCGGGATATCAGTCCCAGCTGGTTGAGTTCCTCATCGTGCACTACGAGCAGATCTTTGGGATGGATGAGCTACCCCTAGTCACAGAGCCCCCATCCCACAACCCCAGCCTGGCTCCAGAGACTCTCACAACCAACCCCCAGCCAGCACCCTCACACTTTGATCCAGATCCTCTGCCCTCAGCCATAGTCTCAGATCCAGACCCAGGCCCAGACTGTGAGCCCCAGAATGCCCTGGAGAAGTACCCTGAGACAGCGGTCCCCGAGGTAGGAACAGACTGCTTACGCCTCTTTCCTTTTCCTTCCTTTCCCATATAAATATTCTCTTTCATTCCCTCCTTCCCTTTCTTATGAAACCTGTGCTTATTCTGGAAGGAACTGTAAAGCACAGAATGATGAGTTACAGTGGAGTAAAACAAGGGTAACAACCAAACATATACTGAACACCTACTGTGTTTCTGGGTGATGCAAAGAGTTAAACATTCTACTAGTAGCTGGATGGTCAGTGATTTGAACCTACCCTGAGGCACCTTGCAGACAGACCTGGAGATCTGCTTCCAAAAGGTCATAGCTTTGAAAAACCTATGGAGCACACTTCTACAGTTCTGCTTGCAACTAACAGCTGCAAATGACAACAACAACACTATAATCCAAGCATCATTTTGGCATTATAGCTACGTAAGTATGCAAAACAGGCCAACACCCCATCTTCCTAGTGGCTGCAGTCTAGTGGGGAGAGACCACAGTAGACCAGGAGTATGATGCAAAGTCATTCATGTGGGAGGCATGAAGAGTACTATGAAGAAGAGAGGTTAAGGTGCATCAGGGTACCAGGTGGAGAGTGGAGAGCAGTATTTAATCTCAATAGGATGTTGTGGTAGTCCTCATGGAGGAAAGCAGATAAGAGTAAAGACTGGAAGGAGGTGAGGGAGTCACTGGAGATTGGGGAACGGTGTTTCAGGCAGAGAAACAGACAATGGCAAGGCCTTGACGTAGGTCCTGGTGCAGCAAATGAGAGAATCGGAGAATGTAGCAGGAAATAAGGACAGAGAAGGGTCCATCGGGATGGCTCTGTGGGCCACCACTCACTAACCATGGATCTATTACGCCAAAACCCAAACTGCAATCCTATAGAATAGACTAGAACTGCTCCATAGGTTTTCCAAAGCGGTGCTCTTTTATGGAAGCAGACTGCCATGTTTTTCTTCCATGGAGTGGTTAATGGATTTTAGTCATTGATCTTTTGGTTCAAAGCCAAGTAGTTAACTACTGTGCCACCAGAGCTCCTACCTACTACACAGGGGGTACATTATAGACTTCCTGAGAGCCTTCCCAGTTGGATCCTTTAGCTATTTCCCCGAGCACTACCCTCCCCTACAGCAGCTCAGAGCTGAAAGCCAGGGTCTGACACCAAGAAGGAGCTCAGATTTTAGCTAAAGGTAGGACAGTGAGAACACAGACTAAGAGTCCTATTCCAAAGTCACCGAGTTGATTTGTACTCACAGCTACCCTATAGGACAGAGTAGAATTGCTCCTTTGGGTTTCTAAGACCGCCGATCTTTATGGGAGCAGCCAGCCTCATCTTTCTCCCTTGGAGTGTCTGGTGGGATTGAACTGGCGGTTCACAGTACAACACTTAAATCTACTGCACTACCAAGGCTCTTTAAAGAACAGACATTAAGATTTGAGAAGCAAAGTCTGATGGGAACATGAGTTCATAGCCAGTACCAGCCCTAACATGAAGACTGAGTCACTCTGTTTGGGAATGGACTGCAATGCTGCCCCATCGAAGAACACAGTCAAATCTGATTGGTGACCCAACAGGACATTCATGCTGCCCTGTGCAAAAGAAGCAAACAGTACACTTTCAAGGCCATCGTCTATCCTAAATACTAAAACTGCAAAGAACACCTGCATGCTTCGGAGCAAACCTTCAGTCTTGAAGAACTGAAGTTTTAACTGTTGGGTCTCATTCTTGGGTTTCTCCATGCAGACTCCTACCCTGCAGAGTGACCAGAGAGAGGAAGTGGCTGCAGACACCAAAGATGGGGGAGGTGAAGGTGAGTGTGTTGGAGAGTGGCCCAGGAATGCTGGGGGTCTGTGGGCCCCAGGCTGGTTTGGGAGAGGGCTCCTGGGGGGAGTCACAGAGGCACCCAGGTTGCTCAGTATTGACATCTCCATCCTCACAGTATCCAGCCGAAGTCCCGAGGACTTGCTCCTGGGAACACAGTCCCGTGGCCACTTCAGTCGCCAGCCTGTGAAGTATCCTCGGGGGGGCATACGGCCTGTCACCCATCAGCTGTCTGGTTTGGCCCTGGTGGCTTCCAAGCTGTGTGAGGAGACCCCTGTCACATCAGTACCCCGTGGGAGCTTGCGGGGACGTGGTGGGGCAGGTCCTGCCACCACCTCCCCTGAGGGCAGTCCCTTGCGTCGCACCCCACTGCCCAAGCACTTTGAGATCACCCAGGAGACAGCCCGGCTACTCTCCAAGCTGCACAGTGAAGCTGTACCCAGAACCACCTGCTGCATGGACCCCCAGCCTGAGACCACCTGCAGCGTGGACCTCCAACCTGAAGAAGTTGAGGACCATCTTTGATCATCCCCCAGCTTGGCAGAGGGGCTCAGGACTGAGAAGATGAAGCCACTTCTCCCCATCTCTCTCCTAGCAGCAGTTAGCCATCAGGTCAGGAGGTTAGTGTTAGCGGCCTTGAGAGAGTTCTTTTGAGGAAAGACTGAACAGCCTCAGGAGGCTTGAAGTAAGTATTCCGTGGGGCAATATCCCAGGACCCCCACGCCACTAGAAACAGGTCACTGCCAGTGTCTGAGTCACTCAGGATCAATGCTCAGGGTCAACACAGATCACTAGATCCTTGGGGTCAACCCTAGTCTCTGTCCCCTAGGGCAGGGGTGTCATTTGCTACTTTGGTTGTAGCCATTCCCTCACCCCCCGCCTCCTGCCCTGCCTGCCTCCTCTGCTGACTCCAAGTGGAGGGAGTGGGCAGCTCAAACCCCACTAGCCCTAGGGTCTAGTGGTCCCTGAATAAACCGTGTACTGTGTGCCCTCCTGCGTCCTTTTTTACTAGGGGAGCGTGACAGAGAAGACCCGCGAGTGAGGGCAGTAGCTGCTGCCCGCATTATGGCAGGGGAAGCTGAGGCCCCCTTTCTTTAATCCTCAGACATCTCTGAGCAGGCAGCTGCAGAGGCCAGGGGCCCTGGGTGAGTCATGCCGGCGCCCCTCCCGGAGCTTCAAGTCCTGATCCAGTCCTTCATAGTCAAACAAATGTAACAACGTGCAGATAACTGGAACAATGCAGTTGTGTGCTCTCGGGCATGTGAGGCCAGGCAGCCACGCAGAGGCTGGGGGAGGAAGCCACTGAATCAGGCCGTGCAGGGAGCAAAGGGGTGCGGGGGCGAATTCACCAGAAACTTGACGTGGCTGAAGTGCAGACTGGGATCTGAGGCAGGCTAAGGCGGTCCTCTGGGGAAGCGAAGGAGGGCAGGGGTCTTTGTGGGGCGAGAGTAGTGTTTTGTTGCAACACAGTAACAGAACAGAAGCCAGGGAGTGAGCGAGGGGCTCGGACCCCAGACCTCCCCGAATTGCGCCCAGGCGGTGCCAAGAAATTCACCACTTAGCCCACAAGATCCCAAACTGCTAGCATGTTAGGCTTCTGGAGGTCAGGGTGGGGATCCCGCTCTGGAAACGAAGAGAGAGTAGTGGCCAAGGGGGCCAAGGAGCGGGGAGGAAATAGAGGGGCTGCGGTTCCGGGTGAGCCCACCCCCTTCCCAAAGGCAGGGCTCCCCAGGTAGCTGTGCCGAGACTCCTCCAGGTGGTGGGGCGGGATAGCCCCCACGTTCCTGGCAGCATGGGGTAGAGGCGGGGCTCCTCCAGGTGGTGGGGAGGGGCGGTGGGGGGGGCGGGGGCGGGGTACCCGGAGCAGGGCCCGCCTCTCGCGCGTTCTATCCTCCCGCGCCCTGCGCACCCGGGCTCTCGTCGCTTCCGCTCCGGTTGTCGCCGCCGCCGCCAGGCCATGGACCTGGGGCCCACCCCAACCCCCCGCGAGCCCGTCCCGTCCGCTGTGTGACGGGCGGTCCAGGTGAGGCCGGCACGGAAGGGAAGCGGGTACAGGGGAGGGCGCGCCCAACCCGCGGCCTCTCGGGGAGGCTCTGCCCAGTCGGGGCGGGCACGTGCCTACGGGGCCTGGGCGCCGCCCTCTCCTTCCCTCCGCCTCCCCCAGCCTGGGGGTATCGGGTGAGTGGGCCAGCCGCTGCTCCGCGCCCGCTTTCTTTGTCCCTGGGGTCCACAGTATTCTCTGTCCCACCCAGACCTGCCTGGCGTTCGTCTGCCTCGTGAGTGTTTGCGCCCAAAGCCCGCCCATCCCCTAACTTCTTGGGCACCTTGCTGCTCCGTCGGGTCTTGGTCACCTCCAAGCCTTACATGGACTGCCCTTGCTGTTCGGACACCATCTTGACCCTGTGCACACACACCCTGTCTTTGCTCCCTGAGGTGACCCAGCACCAAGCTGACCCTCCCAAACCATTCGGCTCACGCCCTTTGTCCAGCCCCAGCCCTTCCCCCTCCCAGAGGGCATGTGGGCTGGGATTGGATTAGGTAAAGGAGCCAACCATTTGGTTTGTGAGATCCCTTTCCTAAAAGTTTGAGTTGACTAAGAAACACCCTACTCCACCCATGTTATTGTGTCATCAAATCGGTTCCTACTCAGTGTCCTGGTTCCCACCATCGCTCTTTGGCTGGCAGGATCAGAGAGCTTGAGGCCCTTTCCCTTCCTGCTGTGACGACTGTTCTGACCCCTCCAGCTCCTGCTCTCTGCAGTGACCTCCCAACAAGTGCAGCCTACACTGACCATTACCTCTGTGCTCCAAGATGGTCACCATGGTCCAGTGCTACTACAACGAAACCATCGACTTCTTTTACAACAACAGTGGCAAGGAGCTCAGCTCCCACTGGCGGCCCAAAGATGTGATCGTGGTGGCACTGGGCCTGACAGTCAGCGTACTGGTGCTGCTGACCAACCTGCTAGTCATTGCAGCCATCGCCTCCAACCGCCGCTTCCACCAGCCCATTTACTACCTACTTGGCAACCTGGCAGCCGCTGACCTCTTTGCTGGTGTGGCCTACCTCTTCCTTATGTTCCACACGGGGCCACGCACAGCCCACCTCTCACTAAATGGCTGGTTCCTGAGGCAGGGCCTGCTGGACACAAGCTTGACAGCGTCAGTGGCCACACTGCTGGCCATCGCCGTGGAGCGGCACCGCAGTGTGATGGCCGTGCAACTGCACAGCCGCCTGCCCCGTGGCCGCATCATCATGCTCATTGTGGGTGTGTGGGTGGCTGCGCTGGGCCTGGGCCTGCTGCCAGCTCACTCCTGGCATTGCCTCTGTGCCCTGGACCACTGCTCACGCATGGCACCCTTGCTCAGCCGCTCCTACCTGGCCGTCTGGGCCCTGTCCAGCCTGCTTGTCTTCCTGCTCATGGTGGCCGTCTACACCCGGATTTTCTTCTACGTGCAGCGGCGAGTGCAGCGTATGGCAGAGCACGTCAGCTGCCACCCCCGCTACCAAGAGACCACACTCAGTCTGGTCAAGACTGTTGTCATCATCCTGGGTGAGTAGTACTCCCAACAGGCCCGGGACCCACAGGGACACCTCCCACCCCACTCCCACAATAAACGGGTGATCTGATAGGAGCGTTCCAGGCAGAGGGAACAGCAAGGTGAGAGTCCTAGGAGACGAGCAAGCCAGGACCCCCCCAGAGGAAGGGAGGCTCACATGGTGGACCTGTCATAAGGAGAGAATGTCAGCAGGGCCTTACATGGCACTGACAGCAGTTGGGTTTTGTTCTGAGTTCATGGGACACCTTCAGAGTTTCTGAACAGGGCGTAATACGGTCACCCTGACTGGTGAATGGAAGATGGACTGGGAAGGGGAGATTTAAGGGATTCAGACCCTCCCATGAGGGTACCCCCACCCCTAAGAACAAGGAGCTACCCTTTCCCCAACTGAGGAACTGGGCTAGCCCATAGTGATCCACTTTTTCCATGAAGCGCCCCTCCCACAATGGAAATTTCCAAAGCTATGGCTACCTTGGAGTCCTGGTGATAACAGTGGCTTAAACCCTCCGCTGCTAACCAAAAGGTGGGTGATTCAAATCCACCAGCAGCTCCTTGAGAGTGGAAAAGACATCATAGTCAGTCTGCTTCCATAAAGATTTCTGCTTTGGAAACCCTCTGGGGCAGTTCTCTATCTTACAGGGTCTCTATGAGCTAGAATTGGCTTAATAGCATCGGCTTTGGTAGCCTTCCTTGTGCCAGTTAGGAAGACAGTCACAGAAAGATCTTCCTCAGAGTGGTCTATCTTTTCTGTGAGCCCAGCAGCTGCTACCTGAACTCTGTAGCACCCTCCAGTCCCAAGGTCGGAGCTGTGGGTGTCAGGTCTTCACACACCCTGACCACTCACTTTGGGCTCCATCCTGCAGGGGCCTTCGTGGTCTGCTGGACACCAGGTCAAGTGGTGCTGCTTCTGGATGGTTTGGATTGCACGTCTTGCAACGTCTTGGCTGTGGAAAAGTATTTCCTCCTCTTGGCTGAAGCCAATTCACTCGTCAATGCTGTGGTGTACTCGTGCCGTGATGCTGAGATGCGCCGCACCTTCCGCCGCCTCCTCTGCTGTCTGTGTTTCCGCCGGTCCAGCCATGATTCCAACCGCTACACACCTTCTCTCCGGACAGGTGCTAGCACACGCATCATGCTTCCAGAGAATGGCCACCCCCTGATGGACTCTACCCTTTAGCTGTCTTGGGCGTCTGTAGGATACAGCAAGTGTCAGATCCATAGCCCCTGCACACTCAGGCAGCCATGGAACTCACGTGACTCCACCCTGCCTGTGGGATAGACTTTCAGGCAGACCCACAGTCTGGCTCTGCCTAGTATCACTGTCAGCCCCTCACCTCAGGCATATAGCTCTGCCCCAGGATGTGGGGGGCTTGGGGCCATCTCTGAGCACTTGGGGGAGAGTTGAATCGAAGCAGGAATCTGGCTTGTCACTCATCTCAGGTTTTGGGTTTTTTTTTTTTTTAACAGACATATTTCTATTTTTATAGCACATCCCTGGTGAGCCCTGTGGACTGGCTGGAGGTTCCTTGTACATGTGGTTTGGGTGTTAAGGGTGGTGAGACAAGGGCTCTCTCAGGCCATGCTGCCCAGAGTGAAAGGAAAACAAGGAGCATGAATGTACCATCTGCATGAGACTGATTCCTTAGGGATGCAGGCTGAACACAAGCAGGGAAATGTTTGTGACCCCCTGTGGTCTTGAGGTGCTTGCTTGTCCCAATTAGAATTGAGGGGGTCCATGCAGAGGGCATGATACAAGGAGAAAATCCTTGTTTCCACTCTGAAGTCTCTGAAGCATTCAACTCCATCTGCCTGTTTCTGTGTCCCTGAATTGTTCATTGTGGTTGTGGCGCCCAAGAGATCTTTCAACATGGTGTCTTCTCAGCCCTGTTTTCATTCTTCTTTGGTTTTATTAGACTGTTTGTGTTATTCTTACCTCTTTCTGAAGTCTTGTATCTTGCCTCTGTAATTTGTCTCCCCTTCCAGATCCCATGCTTCTGTCTCACCACCTGGCCATCTGTCTGTCTCCCTCTTCTGGAAGAAGAGCTGAGGATGCTGGGATGGTTGCTGGCTTATGTGACCTGTTTTTCTTCTGCCTTTTAGTCTTAGTCCAGATGGTTGAAAGGTCCCATTGCCCAGCCCACCACCTACATACATGCTCAGAACCTCAGGAAGTAGTGAAGTCTATGAAGCAGGATGCATGATTTGAGAGTTGCCATTCATTTCGCAGTGTCCTGAGGCACCTGGTACACCAGTAAGCATTTACATGCATTATTTAATCATCATCTGCATCTTGTTTTCACTTGAGAACTTATTTTCACGTGAGACCAGTGGATCCAAGAGCTTGAAATCTTGCCCAGGGTCACATAACTTTGAAAGGGCACAGAGATGCATTGATGGACCAGAGAAACCCTTCTGGAAAGGGTTTCTGATTCCCACTAGTCCCTGAAGTTAGTTATAAGCTCAGCCTAGCTTTCCCTACTCCTGCCCCACAGCCCTGCCAAGCGTCAGGAAAGGCAGCCCTAGGGTGAACACCTCTCAGATGTTGAAAGAAGCAGCTAGCACTAATGGTACCCCTCCAAGCACAGTGGACCAGCCGAACCTGGATGCTATTCTCCACCTCACTAGTGAGGAGACAGGGTTATAGCCCTACTTCAAGTTCACATGCTAAATGTTAGTATTTGAAACCCAGGTCTCCCATGAGAGGCCAAACTCTGAAATCATTAACATACCTACTGCATTAAAAGAGTCAGGGTTTCCCTCTGGGGAAGCCCCTGTCCTAAGCCAGCTCTGTGAGGAGACAAGAGTAAATTTGGGATGCTGTGCACTCCTGTGGGGTCCAAGGTGGTACGATGGTTCCTAGGGTCAGGAACCTGAATCTCCAGAGATAGTATCGAAGCCAGTGTCTTGTACTACATACATAGTCACTATGTATGTTCTAGGCACACACCTGTCAAAAGATGTAGTCCCTACTTCTACAGAGCTCAGAGCCTGTTGGATAGATGTGCCATTCTAGGTACCAAGGTGACTAATTCCTATGAGATGGGGAACCCTCAATGGTCTTCAAATTCAGCTCTCTGGCTTTTCTCAGAAGACTGTTTTTGCAGGTGCATCCTCCAGGTTCTAACCTGGAATCTTTTCCTGTCAGTTAGCCCTGCTGTCATAGGTGAAAGGAAACCTCTACCAGGTGGTTCCAAACTTTTTTTTCTGCTGTTCCCTGAGGGTTTCACCCATACCAGTTGATGAAGTTACTCATCATCTTTCAGGCTTCCTGTGCTATCCTGTATTAACAGTTGCCCTTTTGTACAAGTCACACACTTTCCCGCTCTTCAGGTACCTTGTTATTTCCTGTCACTGGAGCTAAGTGTTTCCCCCTCATCAGAGAGTTTTCACTGTTTTTACACCCAGCCCATGTTACTCATTTCCATTCCCTGCCATCTTTGGTGTCACTCCCTCAGCCTAATCCATCCCCACTGATAGTGTTTGAGTTCCCTGTCCAGCAGCGCTGGCAAGACATGGACTCTGCCTTGAAAGTGTTCCCAGTCTTAAAACAGGAGATTTTATGACTTAGAAGTGGCTCATGCCTAGCCTGTACCCTTTCCTACACAAGGATCCTTCTCTGATGCTAATGATGCCTACAAGCAAGAAGTAGACTTGCAAAGATCTGCTGGGGGGGGGGAGGGTTGCGGTATTTGGTCGGTAGGTGCTCTAAAGTTCATTCAGTTGTTAACCACACAGTCTGATGTCTTCTAGGCCTCCAGTGTAGGGTGAGTGAATGATAAAATCACTGGTAGCTTGCACCTTGAAAGGTGGATAGAATTGACTTCTACCGTTGAGAAAAATCAGTGTTTCACTGCCGAGTCAGCACCACACACACACCTGCAACCTCAGCTAACAAAGGGAATGAGGAAGCTCCAAGGCTGGTGAGCCCGGGAAGGAGCCCTCTGGCAAGGTTGAGCCGGGGGCCTGGGGCTCTAGGAAGATTCTGAGGAGGAGTGGAGTGGGAGGACTATGGATTTAGGAGGAAGAATTCTGAGGAGGATTGTGTTCTGATGAGAAAGGAGCCCTGAGGGGGAGGGGTGTGTGTGTGAGGAAATGGGGAATGAGGGCCTCTGAAGCCAAGTCAGCGGGGAGACTGGGTGGGGGTGGGGAGTGCTGTTGCCTTGGAAACCCCCCACCGAGTCCCGGGCATTAGCGGGTGAGGGGGATACGTTCCCCTCGCCAGCGGTGCGCAGAGGCCTGACTGGCAGCGGTTGGTTGACTGAGACGGACCCAGGAGCGTCGCACGGCGGCTTGAACGACAGCGATTGGTTGGCTGTGACGAGAGGGGGGCCGAACTGAGGGCGGTACGCCTAAGCTTAAGTGGCGACGGTTGACTGGTGGGGGTGGGGCCAGGAGCGACGCGCGGAGGTCTGAATGATGGCAGGGGGCGGGGCCCGGGGCGAAGCGCAGAGGCCTAGGAGGTAGCGGTAGGCTAACAGCATAAGTGGGCGGGACGCGGACGGCGCGCGGACGGCGGCGGTTGGCTGCGGTGCCCGCCGGAACGCTCCAGGCCAGGCTGCTCTCCTCAGCATCCGCTGGCCCAGCAGCTGATGGACGCCCCGCCGCGCCCGCCGTGCCCCGCGCCGCCCGCCGTCCCGCGCCACCCGCCGCCCGGGCCCCAGCCTGGCCCTGCCACGGGCGACGTCCTGCAGCAGATCATGGCTATCACCGACCAGAGCCTGGACGAGGCGCAGGCCAGGTGCTGCATGGGCTCGTGGGGCGTCGTGGGCTCCCGGGGCGGGGATGAGGCTGAAGTGGGGCTGGGCCAAGGGCAGCTGCCGGGGGATGAGGGCTTAGGGGGAGTCTGGGGCAGACAGCCTGTGGGGGACTTTGAGGACTGAAAGGAGTTCTGAGGATGAAGGGGTCCTGGGTTGAAATGGAAGGGTTAATCTGTGGGGCCAAGCAGTGGGCTCAAGGGTTTTAAGAATTTGGAGGGAATTGAGCTCGGAAAGGGTTGAAGGCTGCATCTGGGGTGAAAGGGATGGGTTTAAGGACGTTTGTGGATGGGGAGGTTTAGAAGTTTATGGATTATAAAGTGATAAGAGGAGTGTTGGGCTTGTGAGAGATGGGGGCAAATGGGATTTTTGAATGACTGAATGATAAATGTAATTTATAAAGGTGGGAAATTTTGAAGAGAGATCCTGGAGAGTGGCACTTGGGAATGTCTTGACTGAAAAGTTGAAATGTGGCAACTTGTGGAAATCATCCAAAACTTTTTGGGAAAATAGAGGGACCTCCTTTTTAATTTGCAGTCCTCATGTGGGATAAAGCCTTGGGCCAAAAGGTTGATTTGAACCACAAGGTCACCTGTCTTTTGAAACCCTGTATAAGGTCGCTGTGAAAAGGAAGCAACTCGATGGCACTTAAACAAAACATGCTTCATTAAGCATGTCTCTGATCAGTGGATGGCTGCAGTAGTAATACACTTACCTTAATTTCATTAGGGAGTCCTAGTGTAGCACTGCAGCTTAACACGCTGGACCGCCAGGTGGGTTTGAACTGCAAGGTTGGTGATTGAAACTCACAAACTGCACCTCGGAAACTCTGTACAGGGCTGCTGTGAGTCAGAACCAATCCTATGGTACTCAACAACAACAGTTTCATTAGAGTGCCTTCAAAAAAAAGGATACTTTTGGTACCATTGATCAATTTTGAAATCAGGGGTAATATCAAATTTTTTCTAAAACTCAAATGGATATCTTCCAAATCATTGAAAGTCTTGCAACAAGCTTGCAAGAATGCTGCCTCACATAAAAAAAAGATTTTTTGGATGGGTCAAGCCTTTTAAGGTCGGTTGGACCTCAAAGATGAGTTACGAGAGGGAAGGAAGATTGTCAGCTTTGGTGAATGTAGAAACTGTCTGAATTCCAGAAACGGTTGGATAAAGATTGTAAAATTACTATGCGATAGCTTCTGAACACACGATCTCACATAGTTTGACATTTTCAATTTTAAGCAAACACCTTTGTCTCAGGAACCTTTGGGGTTCGATGGATGCCAAATGCATTGTGCAAAGATTAGCTAGCTCCAAGAAGAACTGATCTTTCTGTCAGTCTTTCAAGCAAGATTGAAACTAATAAGACAATTTTATGAAACACCTGGTAACTAGGGATGAGTCTAAGATTTACCAATGCAATTCAGAGAGCAAAGGCCAGTTAAAACAGTGGTTTCCAAGGGGATCTGCTTGACCAGTTAAATTCAAGGTAGAGAGGTTGGCCCAGAAGGTTATGGAAGCTGTCTTTTGGGATCCCTAAGAGGTAATGGTTTGGTTGTGTGGGCTAATGCACTGGACTACAAAGTTGGTTTGAACCATAAGGTTCGCTATGGGTAAGAACTGAGTTGATGGCATTTATCAACAACAAGAAGTTGATAGATTTTGTCAAAGGGCACAGGATGATCACTGGAGTTTATATTGAAGACGTTTTCAGAAAATTAAAAATGTGTTGGTGAGAAAAAGGCCAGGACAGTTGCACCAAGCAATTTTTTTCCATCACAGCAATGTGCCTGCTCATTGTTTGAGGGTAGTAAGGATTGTCCTATGAGACATTGTTTAGGAACCCCTACTCCATCCACCCTATAGCCCTGAAATTGCCTCTTCAGACTTCTTTTTGTTCTTTTGTTCCTACAACTCAAATAGCATTTCAGGGTCATTATGAGTCAGAACTGACTCTGCAGTAGCACTTAACAATGACAACGTGCTGTCCGAACTGTTTTGATGTGGTGTAAAGCAAAGAGCACAGAATCCTTGAGGAAGACTTTGAAAGATGGAAACACTGCCTTCAGAAGTGGATAAACCTAGATAGAGGCTGTGTTAAGAAACAATAGCTTTATATTCTGATATTTTTGTCTAAAGTTTCTATAACTTTGTTTTTTTGTTGTCATTAAGTCCTGTCAAGTTGGTTCCAACCTATGGTGACCCTGTATAGGGTTTCTGAGGAGCAGCTGGTGAGCTTGTGGTTCAAACCGCCGACTTCGTGGTTCAAACGACTTTGCTATCTAGCTCATTACTTGCCCTCAGTGTGTTAGGCACTGGGGCTAGGTGCTGACGTTGTCCATGCTCTCAAGTTCCTGGTTTGGGGAAGAGAAAGCAAGTAGCAAAAATTTGCTATAAATTAAGATCGATGGGAGTGATCAAGGAGAGCTATAGTGGAGAGGAACAGCCTGGTGGAGTGGACACAGCACTTCCCAAAGCCCTGAGGTGGGCAAAGAGAAGAAAGCTAGAGCCATGTACAAGAAGTCAGAATCAAGTTTGGAGAAAGGCTAGAACTAGATCATATAGGCCCACAGGCCCAGAAATTTTGATTTTGAGTTGCAGTCGGAAAATCAGAGATATGAACACCACCATTTCCTCTTTACCCACCACTTGTCAGCCAGACACTCTCTAGGAAGGGCAGGGCAGAATCTGTTACAAGACACCCTCATTTTATTTGGGGCTGCCTTGAATGAGTAGAAAATAGAAAAGGACTAAAGTTCTTTTAAAGGGTGGTGGTGCCTTGTTGCATTGAGCCTGTTTTGAGTGAAGGATGCTCCCTGGGGTAGGATCAAAGTTTGTGGTAGTATAGAGGACCAAGGAGGGATTACAGAGTCAGGTAAGTGGCAGCCCCAAGGAGGTGGCAAAGGAAAAGGTGGATAAGGAATGCATTTATTCTTTAAACTTACTTTCCTTAGCTTATGGACTGTTGACTCTACAGTTTTATAACCTCTGTCTGAGAAGCTAGGGGACAACCCCACAACATACACACTATATTCATTCTATTTTTTGGAGCTCTGTGCTAGATACTGTTGTCATTGTCAAGTGTGCTGTGTAGAGGTCAGTTGCAGCACAAAAGAAGGGCATACCAACCTCATCCAATAGCCCAGGTATGGTGCCCCTCTGTGATTCACAGTCTGCTGAACTCTCTGAAAAGATTTATTGCAGTGGAGCCAGGAGAACAATGAACATTTTTCACCCAGGAACCTGCCTCACTACACAAAGACTATGTTTTTCATGTCTGTTGGATGGCAGTGAGTTTCTATTTTTATGTAGCTTTTCTGGGCATGGTCTTGTAACTCACACAAAATCATTGGGTGGGACTATGCAAATAAGGTATATAAAACTCTTGCTGGGATTGACTGCAATTTACAAATAAGGTGGCCCACCAGCTGATTGGTCAGTCAGCTTTACTCTCCTGCTAGGCTTAAAAAGAGCCAATCCAAGAGGTTGAGGGTACCCTTGCTATCATCAAGAAAAAGAGCTAGGAGTGGAACATATTCTTTGAACCCAGAGTCTCTGTGCTGAAAACCTCCTAGACCCAGGAGATAGAGCTGTAACACTGGAGACACAGCAGCTTAAGAAGCAGGCAGCAGCAGATTGCTCAATGACCTATGCAGTGAGATAACTGAGTGCTTGGGGCAGGAGGCTTCTTGGTGGGTTGGGGGTGCCTCTGGGTACTTATCGGAAGACCTGAAGAGCTGTAGCACTTGTTCTAGCAGGGTAGAGGCCTGGCCTGAGCAGGGCCCAGTGACCTTCTGCAGGCATGGCTGAGAAGATGTACTAATTAAAGAACTATATCCTGAGATGTTCCAAACCTGATCCTAAATTGTAACCTGTTGTTGTTGTTAGGTGCTTTTGAGTCAGTACCAACTCATAGCAACCCTATACACAACAGAAAGAAACACTGCCCGGTCTGGGCCAACCTCACAATTGTTGCCACGCTTGAGCCCACTGATGCTGCCACTTTGCCAATCCATCTCACTGGGGATCTTCCTCTTTTTCTCTGACCCTCCACTTTACCAAACACGATATCCTTTTCCAGAGACTTGGCCATCCTGACCTCCAAGGAGCACTCTGGCTGCACTTCTTCCAACACAGATCTGTTTGTTCTTTTGGCAGCCCATGGTACTTTCCTTATTTTCCTCCAACACCATAACTCAAAAGCACCAATTCTTGTATAGTCTTCCTTATTCACTGTTCAGCTTTGGCATGCATATGAGGTTATTGAAAATATCATGGCTTGGGTCTGACACACCTTAGTCCTCAAGCTGACATCTTTGGTCTTCAACGCTTTAAAATGGTCTTGTGCAGCACATTTGTCTAATGCAATACGTCCTTTGATTTCTTGACTGCTGCTTCCGTGAGTGTTGATGGTTGATCCAAAAAGAATGAAGTCCTTGACAACTTCAATCTTTTCTCCATTGATAAGAATGTTGTTTATTGGTCCAGTGGTGAGGATTTTTGTTTTCTTGACATTGAGACAAATCCATACCAAAGGCTGTGCTCTTTCATCTTCATCAGTAAATGTTTTAAGTCCTCTTCACTTTCAGCAAGCAAGGTTGTATTATCTGCATATCGCAGTTTGTTATGAATCTTCCTCCAATCCTGATGCTACGTTTTTCTTCATAAAACCCAGCTTCTCGGATTATTTTCTCAGCATACAGGATGAATAAGTATGGTGAAAGAATACAACCTTGTCACACACCTTTCTTAATTTTAAACCATTCAGTGTTCCCATGTTCTTTTCGAACAACTGCCTCTTGGTCCGTGTACAAGATTCTTCATGAGCACAATTAAGTGTTCTGGAATACTCATACTTCGCAATGTTGTCCATAGCTTGTCATGATCAACACAAACAAATAAGCCTTTACTTTTTTTAGTCAATAAAACACAGGTAAACATCTTTCTGATACTCTTTGTTTCTTCAGCCAAGATCCATCGGACAT